TTTTTAGATATTGGATCCGGTCTAAAATAAATTCTGTTGTCTTTTCATCATAATTTCACCACAACCAATACCAGCAGACACCAAATATCTAAATAGTCCAACCAAACACACATAAAGGGGGACATGTAGGCCTCAGCTTGTGTAAATGATCATTGCTTGATCCTAGAGACTAGTCATTTCTAACAGAAAGCCTCTATTACAGTTTGAAAGGCATAAAGGGCTTAAGAAACGACGCTATCGAGTGTCATTGTGGGAACAGCCAGTTTTTGGAGCTTGAACATACAAGGGATTAAAATATTTTGGCCTCTGCTGCATCATTATAGACAATTATTTTGTTAATCTGTCTCTTGGGAGTCCCTTAACTTTTTGTAAGTGCAACACTAAATCGCTTTACGAAGAAAACAATCTGAAGTACGAGTCTAAAAGCTATTCGGCCTCAGTTGCATCGATTTCGACCGCTCTCTAACTTTATGGCTCTACTTTAAATTGCTCGAGTGCCTCTTTGCTTACTGTCTCTATAAGTAACATAAAAAAGAACCACTGGAGAAAATGACCACAGCCACTGGTACAGACTTTTTCAAACCATGTTGTACTGTATCGCTGTGTAATACAGTGTGGAGACAAACAAAGCCAATCAAGTGTCTCCCTGTGTTGAGATGTAGAGAGCTGTTGTTGCATCAGCGCTGCCTTCAGGGTGTTACTGCTACAGGCGGACGAGGGAGCGCTGTGAATTGAACAACCAAGAATAACGTCATTATTTTTAAAGTTTTTCTTTTGTGCATCATCATGCTGTCTTGTTTTGTTTATTCCCAGACTGCCACCGTCCTTCTTTCCATTCATGTTTCATCTCTTCTTGTTTTTCTGTCCTTCTTGTCTTGGTTTCTGTCTCTGGATCAGGATGCTATAACGTGCCTGCCTGACACAGATGATGGATGGATGAATGAACACTTTTTTTTTTGCTCCGGAGGGAAGCGATGGAAAAGGCGGGAGGAAAGTGTAAAAGAGCCAGAGGGATGAAGTTGAGAAGGTAGTAGATGAAAGGAGGATTTGGTGGGAGGTGTAACAACGAGTAGAGCAAGAGAAGAACAAAGAGGGGAGAGGATGATTAAAATGTAAGAAATGGAGAGGGACAGAAAGATTGAGAGATATGGAATAATATCCAAATGTTCTCCCTCCCCATGTGGTCTTCGTCGCCCTGCTCAAATCTTTCCCCCGTGGGCCTCCCCCACCCCTCTGCATACACCATCACCACGACCACATTATCTGTCCCAAACCAGAGTTATATAACTAGATTGGGGTTCTGAGCCAGACATTTCCTTATGTAACCCCACTCTTCTCTCTCTCTCTCTCTCTCTCTCTCTCTCTCTCTCACCACCGTGTAACAACAGCTGAATTTTTTTTCACTTCTGGTAATAATTGAAGGGTTTTATATCAGTTTCAAGTGGGGAAAAAGTTTTTGATTAACTTAAGTAACTCTTTTTACAGACCATAAAAAATATATTTTAATTTAATTCTGGGGACTTCATAACGCTTGTGTCAAGCGCAAAATGTTAGTAATGTTGTGTTGTAAACAAAGTTCATAACTTCCTAGTTGTAATTGTAAATAGGAGATATGAGCCGATCTATACGATGAGTCCTGGACATGCCAAAAAAAACCAAACAACAATAATATTCCGACTTGTTTTTCTCAAAATATTTAGACTTTATTCTTCAAATGTAAGGTTTCCTTCCACCCTAACAATACAATAATATTTGGTCGTAGCAAAGCCACCATAACTGGCTGGTTCAGTGTCAGAAATTATTTGAATAAAACAGCCAATATAGGCTATATTTACATTTATCTTGTGTTTGTTTCGGGACTAGCAGTCGGGTGACCATCCTGGAATGATGCATAACGCTCCCAAATCATTACAATAAGTTGTTCTACTTGATTCCCGTTGTGAATGATTTTGTCTTGTCTTTTACTTTCTGTGCTGGAATCGAACTTTATTTGGTTGTTTAACAGTGAAACTGATTGTTTTCTGGTAGAGTATTGGAGAGGAATTTGATCATTTTGGTTTGTGTCCAAGGCCAAATACGATGGCATCCATTGACATACGACTGTATGAAAATAAGGCATCTAACTCAAAGGTTAAGGATGATTTTATTTATAACATATAACACTTTTTAACTATTAATTACTAGTAGCAATATACTTTTGTTTGAGTTTCTTGTCTTATTTGTTTGTTCATTTATCAAACTTTGTCGACCTTCTCTTCTCAGGACTCCACTCAGTCACAGTTTTACTGCATTGGCACATAAAGATGAGTTTAATTAAGTCTCCTGGTTGGACGGTGCTAGATTTAAATCAAAGTATTGACAGAAAAGCTCTGTTTTTGCAGTGTTTCCCAGTAAGAATTCAGAATCTCACCAGAAGTCACCGGTGTCAAAAAACGATGGCCTTCATGGCCCATGTGAAATTCCTGCCCTGGTTGGGATGCCCTTAAATGTTTTTTTAATTTTTGTTTTTTAAATTTACATTCACATATTAATTTCCTGGTATAGTGAAGTCATGGTAGAGCCTTTTTTATGTGTTGTTGTTGCCTCAGTGTTTGCGCGTTGAACAGTTTTTCAGCATTTGGCAGCATTGTGGGCAGCTGAGCAAATGGGGAAGCCTGGGAATGTTTTGGATTAAGTTCTGCACACACAGACACACACATATACACACATTGCTATCTGTCAGATGCGCACAGCTGTTCATTCCTTACATGACCAGTCATCTCTGATATCAAACACACATTGTGTTTGTTAGAAAAGATAGTATTTGCATATAATTGTTTAAGAGACAGTTCCAGATGTTTCCCATGGAAAAGCTTGGGAAAGTTAATCTAATGGACTGCATATTTGGCAAAAAAATCATACTGTTACGGTAGTTGTAGTGGGTGTTATAAAAGTTATTTTACAAAGAAATCTATAGGAGATTCACCTAAAATACACAGAAGTCGATACACACGACTATATTTATGTCAACTTTTCACTTGTTTTTTTTAGTTAAAAGGTTTCTACCCAATAGTTAAAATATAATACACGTATAACATTAGATCTAATCATCTAATTTCATGTAATATCGTAATGTTAAAATGTTCCATCAGTGAAAAGCCGCGTTGTCTTGTGAGATAAAGGATTTATCCGGTTCCAGACTGTGGTGAACAGAGCAACACTAATATATTTTAATGCCTCCCACATTTTCTTATCAAACTCCTTACAGTAATCTGGCTCTGTGGGGTGTGGATTAGCAGATTAACAGACTCCCAATAGTGCACATACACACACGCACATAGAAATATACACACACGTAATTTAAACTTCCTTAAAGGCAGGCATTAAAACAAGCTTAAGACTGCAGGTGACAGTAGTCGACTCCCATCTCCCTGTCAGAATAAGCAGATAAGGGGGAAGAAGTTTGGACAATATGTCGTACTCGGGCGACAGGATGAAGGATTGACTTAAAGTCACCTCGACAGCCAAGAGAATCGTGTTTGTCTTAAAATCTGTGCAGAGAGAGTCACTGAAAACTGATTGCTGTCGAATTAACTGACGTACGTGAAGCAAGAAACAAAACATGGCGGCAGATACATGAAACAAACCCTACTGTTTGAGGTCTGTCTGGTGTACCCTCTTCTGCAACACCGCCTGATTGGAGGATTAACCTGCTCCTCTTGATGAACTAACTCCAAATGTTCATATAACATTAGTGTAGATGGATGAAAATGTGCATAAATTCACAATTTTGTCTGCCGACTTCCTGAAAATTTGGTTAAAATGTATGCTGCATTTGAATAGAAACCTGGTTACGGTGTGTATACAATATAGTGTACATTAACACATTATGCTAGCATGACATTCATGCATTGATGTTAAGGGGTCAGTAGGCTATACTCAGAAGGAGGGATGAATGCCTTCCCAACCTTTCTGTAACTTTCAAAACTGAATTGAATTGAACTTAATTTTTTTTTTACATGTGAACAACCAAGTGCAACACTGAGACTGAGAAATGTGCTCCATTATCCCCGATAATGCGAGGAGTCTCATCTGTGGTTAAGAGACGCTGTCGCTCTTGAGTCAATATGGCGGCATCAAAGCTGTAAATCGCAGATAAAGTGTGTCTGTAGTCTCTCTGTCACGCTTTGACAGCTTTTTCTCCTCGATATCCATCCACAGTGTTTTTCTTGCTTTCTCTTGAGCCCCCGTATGAGCAAGACTAATATCAGCAGGGGATGTCACATAGCTTGTTCTACTTCAGGGAGTCGTTGATGATTTCAACAGCTTACAGCTCTGCCATGTGTTTAGTTTGTAAAAATTGGTGAAGACAGAGATCCCATGAGTATACAGCTCCTGTGAGAATTAAACACTCTGAAATGTCTTTGCTTCTTCTCCCAAATGTGGGACTTTCGTCTTTCTACATTTCTAATGATACCAGTTGAAACTTAGACATTTTTCTAGGTTAATGTGTGAATGTTTATACATTTCTGAAAGTAGTGAAAAATGTTCATAATTTTCTAACCTTTGTGGAAACTGAACTTTTCAGGCGAGTCCATAAATCCAAAGATATTTAATTTACCATCATATATGGTGGTGGAAAGCATCAAATCCTCATATTTTAGGACCTGAAATATACTTTAAAACCAACTGAAATTATTATTTGATCATCAAAATAGTTGCCAATTAATTTTCTGTTGATCGAGTAATCAGTTCATCAACTCATTGTTCCAGCTCTAATGTAGAGGAAGGCTTTGGTGCATTTTTTTGTATTTTTCTGAGCAAGAAAGTGTAAATTAAAACCTCTCAGGTGAGTAGAAATACAGTCAGACTGATTTTCTCCACACACAGAAGTTAGGACTATTTTTGTTTACAACTTGAGGTTTTTTTAATTCCCATACAGGTGAGTAACAAAAGGGAAAACCAACATTAAGTGTCTTAGTATAACAGCTTCAATGCTCCAAAGAGAGAGCTGAACACTATTCTTCCAAAAGGCACGAATTGGCCAACTTTTAATTCTCTACTGCAGGAAAAACCCTGGAAGTCTACAGCAAATGATTCACATAATTGTCATACTTAAACAAATCATTCAGAGTTCTTGGCAGGAAGTCAAAAACAATCTGAGTGGAAGCAGACCTGTGGGGAATGTGCAGTATGGTTGGCTCAGGGTTGAATCTCTGCTTTTTTGCCGACGATGTGGTTCTTTTGGCATCTTAAACTTGTGACCTCCAGCTTGCACTTGGACGGTTTGTTGGAATGAGAGTCAGCAAATCAAAGTCTGAAGCCAAGGATTGCTTCCTTTTGGGTTGAGAGTGACTTGCTGTCCATACAAGTGGATTCGGGCTCATCCTTCGTGATCGGAGGGGGGAAGAGCTCAAACATCCGAAGGGAGCTCTGGGTAGAATCTCTGCCTTCTACCTTCTTTAGAGGTATTTTGGGCCACATTCGACTGGGTTGACGCAGGGCATTTTGTGGAGTCCAGCGTGGCCTGGGAACAACTTGGCATCCTCCAGGAAGAACTGGAGGTCGTGGTTAGAGGGAGAAGGACATCCTTGCTTAGCCATTTGTTATGTTTCTCCATTCATTATATACTGTATGTATTCTCAGTGTCTGGTCCTACCGTGTAGACCTCGCCTCAGGTGTGTTCCCTCCTCTTCAGTCCTTCTGTTGTCGCCTCGATACTATCTTCAGCATTTGGCCTCGGGTCACTGACAAATGGACAAGCCTGGGATTAAGTTGTATTCACACACACACACACACACACACACACACACACACACACACACGCAAACACTTATACTCACTCACATACACAGTGCAGTTTATGGTGAGTCCTCTTTGATAAGACGCACACTGGGTTCCCTAAGAATGTGAATTGAAATTAAACATTTGCTTATAAGTAATACAATCAGAAAGTGGATTCATACCTGCAGGATGAAAGTCACCCACACACACAGAAACACACACACACACACACACACACGCACCTACACAGACAAAAAGGCAGGATTAAGGGCTAAGGATGGGTTTAAGGATGTGGTGGTTGGCAAATGAATAAATCTCTATGGACATTTGTGTCAGTCTGAGTGTATGTGTGTGTGTGTGTGTGTGTGTGTGTGTGTGTGTGTGTGTGTGTGTGTGTGTGTCCCTGCAGTGGGTCACAGTGTAATCTCAGTTATTCCCCTGGTTTGCTCTTTGGAGGCATGAACACACACATATACACACACAGATACAAATACACAAATTTTTTGTGTATCAGAGTGTAATCTGTGTTCCTGTGCTGTCGAGTCCTCGCTCAGCGGGAATCATTAAAGAGCAGTTAATTACCCATAATCCACTCTGGGCCAGATGTCTGCTCTGTTGGAGTGGTCAGAGTGTGTGTGTGTGTGTGTGTGTGTGTGTGTGTGTGTGTGTGTCAATATTTGCCAGCATTTGTGGCAGCCTCCTCCTCCCTTTTTCCTCATATTTTGTTCCACATACTCGTGCTTGTTTTCTCTGTTCTGTCTCCCATATTTTCTCCTCTTTGTCCTTCTTTATTTCATCCTTTGTGGACGTGATTTATACTCTTTTATTCTCTGTCAGTGTTGCTCCACCTCTACCCATTTTTTGTCTTGGCCCCTTTTTCTGCCCACAAATCCTGTTCATCCCTCCCTCCCTCTCTATCTCCCTCCCTCCCTCTTACTCTCTCGTTTTGGTTCATACTCTCTTGGACCTGGAGGACCTCAGACTTGACTTGTTGCGGTCTTCACAGCACAAAGTTAGCAGTCCAACCCCTTCTGTGTGAGCTACTTTTAAGGTACTGTACTGTAATAATAGTGTGTGTGTGTGTGTGTGTGTGTGTGGGTGTGTGGGTGTGTTCATGCATGCAACATGTTTCACTGTGATTGCTGTTTGTGGCATTGAGAGTACTCAAGTGTTACAGACTTTGAGCTGTGGTTGCTTGGTGATAATAGAGCTTGTATGGCTTTATGGTTTATTTTCAGGTGTTAACATAAAGGTTTATTTTACAACTTTTTTAAGTTAGAAGTTTTACCTGGGTCAGACAATCTTAAGTTTACTTGATTGCAGAGGAAAATGTGTCAATTACCTGAATCATTATAGCCTGTATTATATTTTATAGTGATGTATGATGGACCATATAACCCAGATAACCAAATAGTAGGCCAATATAGAGTATGATTTCTATTTAAAATGGGTATTTCTAATATAAGATAATACAAATTCACATAAAGGTCAATCTTCATCAGCAAATTTAGCTTTCCCTGTTATCATGGAAATGTAGATGTTGAAATTTCTTTTTTTTCGAGCACTTTTTGTCTTAAAAGTTTAGATAAAAAAAGTTAATTTGTGACCTTGTAAACAGTACTTATACAACAATCTGTTCAGTGATGAATTACTGATGCTGGTTTTTGAACTGTGTAACGTGAAAGACAGTCAACCAAACAGTGACAGTGATAATAATCATCAATTGTTGTTTTTAAAATGCAAATGTGGTGAAAAATTGGTCCAAAGTCAGTTCAGATAATCGTTGATATCTCAGATCTGATGGTCCATTTAGTTAGTCAGTTATCCTACTTACCATTAAAATGTAAATGCACTTTGAGGGTTATTGTCCTTGTTGATTTGCAAGTTGAGGTTCACAGTTCATTGCTTAGTTCTCCTGTTTACATATTCAACATGATTATTGAATAGTTGTTCTTGTTTAAACACTGCAGTAGACAGATTTTTGTGTAAGAATATCCTGTATTTTCAACCTAAAAGTCTTGTTACAATATTGTGGTATCATTGCGTGTTGGATCACAGTAAACTTTGTTCAGCTTTGGTGAACTTAAACACACTAATTCACACTGCTAAACAATAGCAAACAGTTTTAACAGTGCTGACCTTTGAGGCAACAAAGACCTAGAGAGTCCACATCAGAGGAAGCTATCATAGCTTATTACTTTAGTTGCATGCATCTGCAGGTTAGCGGTTAGCTTGCAAACTACAGTTCAACGACTAACCCTGCTTATAGTCACTATGCCTCCTGCGGGATACACAGAAGAACTTTGCTGAGTCATTTTCTGGTGTGACCTGGGTTTAAATAAATGATAAATTGCTCCGCCGCCCGAAACTGACTCACTCAAGACTGACTGAAAAATTAAGGACAAAATTCAAATCCAGTGAAAGCTGGATTAACCAAGTTTGGCTGAACCACTTCTGTGTCCCCGTCAGCCACTAAGCAGGGCAGGGCAGTCTTTACGGGTGATTTCTGGGAAGGATGAAGTCATCAAAAGTCAGATATTTACCTCTCACTGCCAGCATGAGATGTCTCCTATTGCAGGTTTTTACTCAGAGGTGTACAGCATGAAGCAAAATCACATATTTTATCAACTCAGCAAAGGGTCTAATTGTCCTTGAATAACCTCAATGCATCAGACCGTGTACCTGGTTAAAGAGGAAGTGAATCAGAAACATAATACAATGTTTGATTTACTTGGAAGAATCACTCTTTATCCATCAACCGGTTTTGTTTGCAAGTTAAGCAGGTTTTTTTTTTTAACACGGTAACATTGGAGCAAATGCACCTAATGCACCTTTCTTTCATTTGTTTGAACTGGACAAACGGGTAAATCATTTTTGGTGTCATTTTTCTCGTGGCACTTTTAAGTGGGGTGGGGGGGGTTAGCTATTGAACAGACCATTATAGAGGTAAACAAAGCTTGAATACTGTTGTTAAAGAGAAAGAAAAGAAGGGGAGATCTTTTGTTTGTCTGGTTTTGATCCCTTGACTCTCTCAAAGCATCCACCGGCTTATTATGAGAAGGCTTGGCTTGGCAAGCGCTGCATTGTTTGCGTGTTAGTTCAAGGTCAGGCCGCGTTCCTGAGAACAAGATAAGAGGACAGTAAATATTATGGGTGCTTCGGTGAGATCTGAGTAGCGAAGAGACAAAGAAAGGTAGATTTCTTATCATCCCCGGGTGAACCTTGAGGTGTTGAAGCCAAAGATGGATCATCTGGTCACTCTCGTTTGAATATAACATTAGAAGGAGCGCGAGACACACAAAAAGAAAGCAGTTACAGCCGGAATGTGACATTTTCTCACCTCGTTTGGCTCTTTCTGGGACAGACGGAGAAAGAGATGGAGTTAAAGGGGAAAGCAAGAGGCTGAAATAGTAAAAAAAGAAGTGGTTGAAAGAGAGAAGAACAGAATGTGTGATAAAATGAGACGTCAGCATAAAACAGAGTCCTGAAACAGTGAGAAAGAGAGCAAACGTCCCCGTTATTCACAGTGATAGCTGACAAGACGCAGCCGCCTGTGTGAAATTGATGTCGTCGTCTTAACGAGATGTTCTGATTTTTTTATTTTTTTTAAAGTGGTTGGCAAAAACGGCAAATCAGCAAGAAAGGGAACAGCTCGCTCTCTGGCGGCGCTCTGTTCCGCCCTCCGGGCACCAGCACCGTTACGTAAGCGGCGGGATCGAATGTAGGCAAAAGCTAAAAGCGATCTTTGTGGGAGGCCCAGGGATGAACCAGGATTAGTGATGGTTTAGGGATATTTGTAATAGGGAATCCCAGCGGATTTCACTGTGCAAATATGTTTCTCATAGAGAACATTAACTCCAGTGTCTCATTTCATAAAGAAAATAAACAAAACGAGTTAGAAGATGTTAAAATCTTAAAAAAGTCCCTTGTGATGGCAGCTATCCACCACCGTATGATCACTACTAGGTCCTGTGATGCCGACTTTAGCTCTTCTCCATGTTAAAGGCCAATAAAGGAAAACACACCTTCCTCTTCTTCTCAGAATCTTATATCATGTTGTTTTTAAGCCATGACAGCATAGTTTCAAGGAAGCCAAATTCATACTTCAAATAACAAAATGGATGCTTGTTTTGAAGGGAGGTTGTGCGAGGAGATCCGCTGTTACCCACATTTGTCTTTGAGAAAACAAAATATACAAGAATGCTGTTGTGAGGGTGGCATTTTCTTTCCTGATGCCAATGCTTTTCCGCCTTCTTCTTCCTGATGTTTATGCCAGTTGGCCAACGTTATGGTGCATTCTCACCACCGACAGGAATGGAGAACTGTGTGCACGTCCTTGTGACCAGTACAAGTACACAGCTGTCCAACTCTCAATCCAGACTGAAATACAACTATTGGAGTGAATACATTTGGTACAGATATTCATGGTCCCCTGAGGAGGTGATCAGCTGACTCTTCCTCTGGTGCCCCCATGAGGTCAACATCTTCGTTTTTTGTAAAACGTCTCGGCAACTATTACGAGTATCTCTGTGACATTTGGTGCAGCCCTCAGGATGAATTCAAAACCTTCCAAACCAATGTTAAGAGAATCTTCTCATTAGCCTCAGCTGTACTTTGTCAGCATGCTAACAATCTAACCTAAGATGGTGAACGTGTCGAGGATTATACCTGCTAGAAATCAGCATGTTAGCATTGTCATTGCGAGCATGCCGTCTTTAGCTCACTGCACCTCTACAGAGCCGGTAGCATGAAGCTGTAGGACTGATTAGTCCACTGACAGAAGATTAGTTGGCAAATTAGTTTCAGCTTCTCAGATATTTGAGTTCAGTTTTATATCATTATAAACTGAATATTTTATATTTCCTTTAACAAAACATGTAAAGACATAACTTTGGGCTTTAGGGGAATTGTTCGTTGGTATTTCTCTGACGGTTTATAGACTGAAGGATTAATCAGTTAAGCAAACTCTTGATGAGGGTTTAACTCCTGAGCAAACTTATCCAATCAGTCCTCCACTACCCTGTAAAGAACAGCATTAGAAAGACATAATCTGTCCTGCAGAAAAATCCAAAGCCATAATAAAGAGATAATAAAGAGAAGAATAATCTACTAAAATGCGTCTTTCGGGAGAGGAGATGAGCTGTGAAATCATTTTTCTCAGTTTCACTGCCGACGGCTCGCTGCAGTAAACATCCCGAAGAAACGCAGAGAGCAAGAGTCCAACCTTGTTTCTCTGGAAGAAAACAGGAGGAAGTGCTGGAATCTCGTCTTCATTTCCTCATTTCTGATCCTATCAGCGTATTAACAGACAAATAAATGCCAACTAGTGTGACACCGTGAGAGGCTGAAACATCAGAATGGCAGTCAGACAAGGTTTAATTATAGATTTGTTTGATAGATCATTTGTCATAATGTCATTGGTGTGGAAAGTAAAACCTGCTAAACACATCCTGAAACATAGCTTTACTTACTGTGCCAGAAGAAGATTAAGCAAGACTTTCTAAGATAAATACTTTATCTTCAGTGTGATATAGATTCACTTCAGGTACGTGTGACCACAGAGACACTTAATTCTAAATATGTTATTTATGATAACACTTATATTTGCTTAAGTAACAATAAACAGTTAATTTTGCTTCCTCGGGTATCTTTGTCTTCATTCACCTGAAATAACCTGAATCTTTTATTTGAGGAGATAAGAGATGATCCCATGCAGTGGCAGACTCAGACTCTTTGAGAGACAGAGAGGCAAAAAAATAAATGAAAAGGGCATCAGTGTCAGAAAGTTGGGATGCATTTATGGTGAAAACTGCTTGGTCAGGGTTGGATTCACACCCTAAAGGATACTTCATCGCATTTTATCCAGCTGAAAGGTACCATGAAGGGCACTTTATCAGGTTTTCTCTACTGGAAAGACACGCTAGAGGGTATTTTCCATGTTTTCTCCACTAGTGATTTCATTTGTACATAATAATTTCCATAGATTTGATGTTGGGTGATACATTGACAATAAGTCAAAATAGATTTTTATCCTCAGTAACAGATATAGGACAATGTCCAAAAATAACCTGTAACTCACTTCCTGACTATAATTTCTTAACTTTTCATGCCAGCGCTAAAAATGGTTGTGTGGGTGTGATATCTTTTTCTAGACTTGATATTTCAGAGCACAGCTCTGCAGTAACTTCAGCACCTTCTCTATCAGCTGTTTATCAGGATGTGTGATGCAGCAGTGAAAATGAGGAGGAGGAAGAGGAGTAGGAGAGGTGACAAGACAGAGCAGAGTTGGAGGAGGAGGAAGGACGGAGCAGATTTATGATGGCAGCAGGTTCACTCCGGTAGTAACAGATCAATATAAAGACAGAGAGAAAGAGAGAGTCTGTCTGGTGTGTACGAATGCCTGTTTTGAGACATCTTGAACATGTAATATTTATATTAAAGCATACTGAATGAAATTAGATGGAAGTAAAATGAAAAAAATGAGAGAGAAGGAGACAGAAAACCTTAAATATCGTTGCTGCAGTTCGCTCAAAGTGTTCATTTTTTTCACCGCAAATCACATCTTGTAACTTAATATTACAAAATAGCCAACAATAATGTCAGGAGCTGAGCAGATTACAAACAACAAATCGCCCCAAATACACCAGAAACTGCAAAACTCAATAGCAGAAACTAAATTATGGAGGTCGCTGCAGACAAAACCATGATGAGAAGTTTCCTTTTCCCAGCAAATATGAAGAGATGAAGAAGTATTTAAGTCACAGAGGAGATATAATAGAATTGTAAGTGAAAATTTAAAGATATATATCACCACATAGTCTTGTATCTTCTTGTACAGTTATATGAGAGAAGAGAGAGGACAGCAATGGCCTCCAGTGCTCTTTACTGTCTGTTCCTGCCAAATGGACACGGCTGAATGTGTGTGTGTGTGTGTGTGTGTGTGTGTGTGTGTGTGTGTGTGTGTGTGTGCGTGTGTGTGTGTGTGTGTGTGTGTGCGTGTGTGTGTGGTTAGGTTTTATTTTATGGTTAACGGCGACCTGCTTTCTGTCTGCTGGGACGGTGCATGCAAACAACTTTAAATTCACATTTTATATAGATTTAAGACTCCTATTTGTTGTCTGGCACCGCTTGTATGTTGTTTATAGTCTCACAATATGGCCGTCTATCACCACGACCTATAGCTTCTGCAGCAGCGACGACAAATAGCAACTTTTCTTTACACACACTGAATGCTTGGACAAAACCTTAACACATTTTCTGCTGCTGGCTCTTTGTTTTGCAATTCTGCAACACCCTTTGTTCGAGAATGAAAATCTCTTGCAATCACTGGGAACTCAAGCACACACACACGAAAACACTTATACACTAATTGAACACCAATCAGTCTCAATCTTATCACTACAAATAGAGGTAAGCTCAGTTCTTATGTGAGAACTGCAGACATGGAGGCAGTGAGAGGAAGAGAGGGAGAGAGATAGAGAGATAGAGAGAGAGAGAGAGAGAGAGAGGAGTAGGAGGAGGAGGAGGTGGATGAAGACAAGAACAAAGAAGGGGGGCAGGCAATAGATGGAGATATAGATGGTGGGTTGTCTGTGTAGCTTGTAGTTTTGACTATGTGTCTGCTGACCCACTTTTTTATTTACCATTGCACTGTAATTGTTTCCTTAAGTTTACAGTGTTGATTACTGTACTGAAATTCTACTTTTCTTTGTGCTTTTGTTGTTATAAAAAAATCAAATTGGCAAAAATAATAAGCTGTATGAACGTTTTATTGAAGATTTTCTATTTGTGTGTTCATTGAAATGTGAGTTGATGTACAGGCTTCTGTGAAAGGTGAGAAAAGGTGTAAACAATAAGACAGCAGTGTTTTGTTGCTGCTTTGAAAGAATAATTCAAATGTGTTTATAATTTGTTGAAGAAGTATTGACAGATGTGAGATGTTTATCTCCAAGCGCTGTGTCTTATTTGGCTTATGCGTGGTGTTTTGACAACAATTAATAAGCAATTGAAAAACTGTAATGATATGACGATTTGTTACCTGTTAAGTGTCTCGTGAAGTAAGAGGTTAACGTTTTAAAGCTTCACAGTTGCTCATATTTGTCTTTTTGCTGCTAAGCTAAGCTAGCAGAGTTTATATATCACTTCGTGTTTTGATAACGTTCGATTAGCGTTTGTAATTTTCCTTTTTAAAAATGTAAAGTAGTTGATTTAGTTTGGTTTCGGTGCTTGTAGAGCTCGTAATGCATCTCAGATGAGGTGTTTCTGGAGTAAAGCATCAGGTAAATGGGCTGATTCCACCTGATGTGGGCAGATTTCCATTGTGAACTGGCTTCAGCAGTGCATGAAACAGCTGTCTCAGTGTGTGTGTGTGTGTGTGTGTGTGTGTGTGTGTGTGTGTGTGTGTGTGTGTGTCACCTGTGGTTTACTAGATCGATGTGTTGGCTAGATAAAAGGAGGAAGAGGAGGAGGAGGAGGGATAAAAAGGAGGATTGGTGGGACAGATGAGGTAGAAGGTGTGTGTGCATTATGGGTCTCTGATACCCTGACTTCTATGATCACACATACATTCGTTTACATCCACCTTTCATCAACCGTCCTTTCCTCTCCTCTCCTCTCATTCTGTATTCTCCCCATTTCTCTCTTCTCCCCTCTCAATCTCATTCCCCGTGCCGCTCACTTCACTTTCAATTTCTCTCCGTCCGTCTGAACCCACCCAGTCTCACATCTTCATTTATTCATTCCTCTGACTCTCGCTATACACTTCTCCTTTTTCCTTCTTTCCCCTTTTTTTTTTTACCTTTGTCATCCTCCTGCAGTCTCTCTCACTCTCTCGCTGCAGCTCAACTATACGGCCAAAAGAATGTGGACGGCCAAATCATTACAGCCATAGCTACTTCACATTCATCTCAAATTTTACGTGCTTTCCCATTATGCATAAAGTATTCGTATACTGCGGCATTTCCTGTGTGATAACGTTGAAACACGACCAAATGTTGTTAAATTTACTCTTACTACTTTCATGGTGCAGTCATGGAAACCATAAAAACACATTTCAAAACATCCCACAACCCAGAAAGAAACAAATATTAGACATAAAATAATGGACTTGACATCAATTCAAAGACCTTTATCGGCTTTTTAAACCACAGCGATGAAGGAAAGGTTGGATACCTGCACTCTGTTACCGGGTTGATTAAAAATACTATATTTTTTTGTCCTTTTTATCACATTTTGTGGACCTTTTGACCAGGTATCACATTCACAAGATGAAACAAAAGCACGGTTATAGAGCTGAAGGCTGCAACAGCTAATCAAAATGGAACCAAATATCACACCTCAGATAATAACCACATGAAAAAAAAAAACATAGAAATGAGACAAACAACAGGAATCCAGAGAACTTGGAGGTGGTTTAGGAAACATTTATTAGCATTTAAACCACAAAAAGTACAGTTAGTATGTTTAGATCTTTAGATAAAGGTTGTTTAGGTAGTATTTACGTAAAAGCTTCATTCATTGTTAGATTTATGAAGTTAAATGTTCACTGAGGCTGGAGAGCCTGTGTGAGTCAGTAGAAGTGGAAAGTGATTCCCATTTTCCTTTGTACTATAATTTAAGAATGTTAATTAGCTCAGCAGTTTAAAAAATGCTAATTTTCAATAAAATGTCTCTGAAATGTTCTGGTGTGCAGAGAATATGAAATGGTCATTCAACTTGGTGTCAAAAGCCTGTAGAAGAAGACAAGATGGACAATTTATTTTTACTCTACTTACTGTAAATCTATACATTTTGTTGTAGATAATAAAGGTCTGAAAATGTTTTATTGTAGTATTTGATGTATACGCAGCATTCAGGATCAGGCGTGTATGAATTTGTGTCGTCTTCACTCATTCAGGGATGTAGTATGTGTGCGGACGCAGGTGTCCACTTACTTTCGGCCACTTAGTTCCTCTCTCCTCTGCTTTCTGGTCACATAGCTGATAGTGAGCCAATCAATCGCTCTCTTCCTCTCCGTGCCAAACCCCTCCCCTTTTTTCTTATTTCTCGCTCTGCCTCTTTCACTCCAACCCTCCTCTCTCTCTCTCTCTCTCTCTCTCTCTCTCTCTCTCTCTCTCCCTCCCTCCCTCTCTCTCTCTCTCTCTCTTATGATTGGCTGCTTCCTGCCTCACTCTTTATGAATTGAACAGCAGCGGCTGGATGCGACTGGATGGAAGCTAATCAACGAATGCTCTCTCTCTCTCTCTCTCTCTGTCTCTCTGTCTCACACACACACACACACACCTATGTACGCACACACACACACACACACACACACACACACATATATACGCACATGCTCATCTCCAACAGCCAAACCTTTCATTGAAATGTGTAGAGGTGCTCTCACACACACTTTCTTCCTCTCTCTCTCTCTCTCTCTCTCTCACACTCACACTCACACACACACACACACACACACCGGCACACAGGCTGCTTTGTCAACAGCTCACGTAGCGCGGTGCACTCAGGCGAGCTGTCACACACACACATATAGCGTAGGACACACACTCTTCCCTCTCTCTCTCTCTTTCTCGTCTTCTGTCACTCTCTCTTGTTCGCCCTCAGCCGCAATCACATGCCGAGCTTCACACACACACACACACAGAGGCATGCAGTCACACACTCCGGGATGCAGGCGGCTTCAGTGATGCTGTGACGCTCTGTCCTCACACACACACACTTTCTCGGTTGTCTTTGCACACTCGCATGCTTTAACACACGAGACACACACACACACACACACACACACACACACACCTCTCGTCAGCCTCTCTCTCTCTCTGTCAGTCAGTCAGTGTGTGTGTGTGTTTGTGGAATGAGGCGGTGATGTTTTGGGACAGGAAGAATAGTATGGGCAATTCCCAACGACGGCCCAAAGGAAGACACAGACCCAAATCGGCAACAGGTACTTTATCGTTCTATGTATATTTCCATCTGTCTATCCATCCCTCCCTCTATCCGTCTGTCTGCCTGTCTGTGTAGTACTGGCTTTCCCATTCAATGCATCCATAATGTCTCATATTCAGGTGTCTCACATCCCTCTTTTCACCCCTACATCCATTCATCTCTCCTCCGTTGATCCGGCACGCACATACGTCCGTCTTTTCATTTATCTTCATGTATTTATCTGTTGATCTGTGTCTAACAAGTGTTGTTCTGCTCCCTCCATCCACAGTGTCTCATGTGTTAGGACATCTGGCCACACACACACACACACACACACACACACACACACACATGCAACACCTAACTTGGCAAGCCTCAATCATCTGCCTGTCTATCGATCTGTCAGTCTAAACGTCGCTTTCGCGTCCGTTTATGCGCCCAAAATGTCTCGTATTCGGGTGTCTCGCGCACGTATATCCTCCTTTTTCACCCTTCCAGTTCATCCGTCCATGCATATTTTCCTCCATCCATCCTTATACATACATGCACTTGTCACAGCCTCTATGCATTCACCTATCCATCCATGCATTGGTTTTTCTCCCTGTTAAAGGTTTTGCATCCTTCATCCGTTCATCTTTCCCTCGCATGCGTACATTTTAACTGTCAATACTACATGAATTCGCCTTCGTACTGTATCTAACTATTGATCAATTCTTACCACACGTTTAACATGTTGATCCAGGTGTCTCACATCCATACTTCTCTCTTTTCACCCATTCATCTATTCATTTGTTCCTCAATTTTCATCCATTCTTTTATGATTAATGTGTCTCACGTCCATGCATCTTTTCCGATATTCATCCTATTGACACATGCAAGCCTCTATTTATCCCATTTATTTATCATTTATCCATCCATTGATCTATGTATGTCGTATTTGTTTTCCATCCAGTGATACAATACTTCCTTTTCATATTTCGTGGTCTCATCAAATCCATGTATCTCTCTCTTTAGCCCTTCATCAGGCCATTCATCCATTCATCATCTATGCCTATTGAGCCGTATATGTAGTATTGGCTTGGCACCTAATCCTCTCAATAGCCTCATCCCTCCATCAGAAATGTTTAATTGTCGTGTATTCATCCATCCATCCATTCAATGCATGGTCCAATACTACTTTCATACATTTTCTCTCAATTTCTCCACCTAACATGTGTCATATTCATATATATTCAGGTTTATATTGGCCATACATCCCTCCTTTCACCCATCCATCCATTCTTCTTATTCAGTTTGTTTCTTTTTTTTTTGCAGTTCAATTAATTTTTCCAAAACAGCTCATGTCCATGCTATTTTCCATCCATCCATCCATCATCTCCTCTAGTCATCTTTTCCTTCCTCTGGGTTGCCAGGTTTGAATGATCTAGGTCAATTGGTCCTTTGCCTCTTGGCGTGCGACTGGGCTCAGAGACTGTATGTGTGTTTCTGTGTGTGTGTGTGTGTGTGTGTGTGTGTGTGTGTGTGTGTGTGTGTGTGCGCGTGTGTGTCTCCTATACAATTGTGGCTTTTGCTTTTCTGCTGCTGCTGAGCTGAAAGTGTGTCCATGTGTGCAAATACCAAGGTTTTATGTTTCACACATTTTGCATACAACACGCCACACGCTGCAGCCTTGTGCATTGCTATGTGTTTGTGCGTGTTAGAGTGTGTGAGATTGCTCGGCTGCACTGCCTCGTCCTGCACGGCTGGATGGGATTACTAGTGGGCTCTTTAATTATCTCCGAGGGCGAGCGAGAGAGCGAGCGAGGTAGGGATAGTGAAAGAGCCGAGAGAGAGAGAGAGAGAGAGAGAGAGAGGGGAATGGAAACGAGAGAGAGAAGCGGAGATGACAGCCCTTGTAAATCTGCCCCTCTTAACTCGCCTCCTCGTTGGGCGAGAGGGGAGGAAAGGAGGAAGAGGAGGAGGATGGAGTGAGAGAGGGGACAGCGGGAGGTGAGGAAGGGGAAGAGGCAGGAAGAAGGAGAGAGGAGGAGGAGGGTGAGGAGGGAAGGAGGGAGAACGAGGAAAAGAAGAAAGGAAATCAGAGGAAATGGAGAGAGCCGGAGATGAACGATGGACAGGCAGTCATGATGAAGGTCTGGGTGGACGTGGTGGGGGAGGAAGAGGAGGAGGAAGAGGAGGAGGAGGATGTTGCATTTAAACACACACACACACACATGCAAAGTGTTTATGTCATGCTGCAGAGCTGCACAGTGCCAACCGAGAGTAAACACACGCATATGCCCATTCTCTTTCTCTGTCCACACTATGTGCATATCCCCTGGAGAACAGTGTGTGTGTGTGTGTGTGTGTGTGTGTGTGTGTGTGTGTGTGTGTGTGTGTGTGCGTGCAGTATGTATGTAAGCTTTAACACAAACCGACAGCCAGGCAGCCTGCACACACCTGCTGTGGAGCAATAATCAGCACAGGACGCCTCCCTGATACATTTGACCTTGACTTTAATCAGCATCCGAAGCGCATTTATCGTCTTCAGACGTGATGGTCACATTGCTGTCACCAGGTGCTGCGTTGTGTTCCAGACGGCATAATTTACTGTGATTACTGGTGATGATGATATGGTCGGGGAGAAGTGGCGTAATGGATGCTTAATGGGAAGAAGGAGGAAGAGCATTTTTCATGAATGAAGGAGATGACAGCATTTAGTCAAACACTTAAAATGACCTATGTTGATGTTTTCCTGCGAGGACCTCTTGTGGCTTTTGTGAATGATGATGGTAATTGTCTCTGTGAAGGAAAGATGGATGTATTTTATGTTGTTATGACGCAGCAACACCACGTAGTCTCCTCCCGACTAGTCTCGCGATACCAGACGATTGGAGATCTCGGCCTTACCTGAAACAATCTCCTTCTGTACTCCTCTGAAGTGAAACAAACAGAAAATATATAGTGAATCACTTTGTAACACAGAGAGAGCTTTTTAAAACTGTCCCAAGCAACTTACACACACGCACACGACTTCCACACATCACCGCCCAAGACTCCGTATCGGTTTTTGCAGGTTTTTGCAGGTTTTTGTAAACGCTCTAAATGTTTCCACCCAGTTTTAGCAGCAAAAGCTAAGAGAAAGTCCTCAGTCTCCATTGACAGGGCACTTAGAAACTTTTAGGCTTAAACAAGCACAATTAAAAGGTTAAATGCTCAGAAAACCGCAACTACTGCGAGTGGACCTTGAGTTGGAGTTGCTTCGTCAAACTGTTATTTCAAAGTCAAACATGAACTTTGACGTCAAACAAAGGAACAAGATTCACAAAGACAGAGTTATGGATGTGCAGGTACATACTCCTGGTTCTGTCTTATGAATGTAAATCATTGTGGAACTGGGCCTCATGTCCACTCGCACATTGCCCTCAAACATCTGTCTGCACGTCGATACGTACCGCTGATCAGAACAGCTCTCTTTTATAAATACCAGTTCAAGTGGCAGAGGTATGCACATTGACTTGGACTCGAGTTAGACTCAAGTTGCAAATTTGATGACTTCCGACTCGACTTGACAAAATCACAAAAGACTTGCAACTCGACTTGGACTTTAACACCACTGACTCCACTTGGACTTGAGCCTTTTGACTTGAAAAATACTTGATACCTTCCATCCAATCAGGCTGCAGGAGATAACTACGAATCTTTTCCTGACCATTAATATGTGTCAGTTATCAACTATAACAAAGACGGTTTCAATCACGTACAAACTCTATGCAGCGGACAACAAAAATTAGAACAAATAAATAAATAATTAGATGCAGAAATGTATAATATGACAAAAATAATGTTATCTGAACACTAAAGCTTGTAAACATATTCTAGTATACCCCGTCATATGAAAGTGTGAAACTGAAAACTATCTTCACCTTTCATCTTTATTTTTTTAATATATTATCACGCTGTTGATAAAGTGGCTTTTGTTAAGGACTCAAAGCTCAAACTTTAGGACATTTTCCCACCTCTGGCTGTGTCTTAGTTTATCCCCTGAAGTCTTAAAGGTGCTGTGGATCAAATTAAAGCGACAGCAACTGAAAATTCTCATTAAAAATAGTCAATAATTATCAATATCTGACTGAAAAGAAGCATTTAATCGCAATAGATTCTTCAGCTATCTCCCTCAGCCATATGATCTCGTCTGATGCCAGTAATCTTTGTACATTTTTCTCTCATCTTTCCACAAGTCTCAAGCCTTTTACTCTTTCACACTCTCTCGTTACCTTCTGTTCCGACTCTATTTTCACTCTTCTCAGTTTTTGTTGCCAGGGTGCTGGCCCTTTTGCAAATTAAACACGCACACACACACACAAAGACATAAGCACACACAGGTTTTCTATATGATGCTTCTATTTCGGTGCTGCTGCTATGCAACCGTTGTCCTAGTGATCACCCGATAACACTCTTCCTTTGTTCCAGTTTTCAGGCTCAAAAACACAAAAAAATTATAGTTTTCCTTCTTCTTGTTCATCATCTGTTCTTTTTCCATTCACTCGGTCATGCTAATACTCATGACTGACCACACACACACACACACACACACACACACACACACACACACCGAACATGTTCATTCATATATTTTCAGAAGGATGATGTCATTTTCAGCAAAGCCAGCACCCTGCAGCAAGAGAGAGAGATAGAGAGAGAGGAGAGATAGGCGATAGAGAGGGAGGGAAAGAGAAGGGGTGTGTGTTGAGATAATTGGACGGAGGCGAGGAAGAGGAGGGTTTAGAGGAAGCGATTGAGAGATCAGAGGCAAGATACGGGATGTGAGAAAAGAGCAGCGAGAGATGTGGGACGGTAAAGGGGAACGAGAGATGGAAGATGCTGAGAGACAAAGAGGAGAAGAAGAAGAAGAAGAAGAAGAAGAAGAAGTTAGAGGAGGAGGAGGTGGAGGAGGAAGGGGAGGAGACAGGAAACAGCGCCTGGGAGTGTGTGGCTGAGGCTGCTGCTGCCATGGCAACCGTACAGGTGTTAAAGCAG